TTTGAGTAGGTTCAAAAATGTGTATATACTGCTTCTTCACTTTATATATTTGACATAGTTTGATCAATAAGTGTATATACACGTTTAGATGTTCCCACAGATGCAGTGGGTGTTATCTTCACTTTCTCTTAAAGGAATACTGTCAATATTGACCAACCCTGATGTACTTAATTAAAGGATTTTGCTTTTAAAATGTATTTGTAATTAAATTTGCAAATATTTTTATTATTAGGAATCTTAATACTTTTCTACAAAAGCTTTTTTGTTGACTTTTGATCTTATATAAGCATTAATACTTGTAATTATTTCCTCTTCTAAAATCTAAGTAGTGGATTATATTAAAAATGCAGAGAAGAACCTTCCTTGATTTCCTTCTCAGAACAAACTTTAGTAGTGTTGTTGTATACTACAGTATTGTTTCACTGCTATCAGCAAACTTGTATGTTGCATTAATAGGATAGAAATGTAACTAGTAGATGAAAATTTTGGCCATATGGGTAATATTTGTGTTTTACTACCAAAAGAAGAAAAATTCTTTTAAGGGTTTTATTCTGAAAACTGATGATCTTTTACTCACTCTTGGTTGGATTTTTGTCACTAAAGAACATTATCTGTACATAGTTTTGCAGCATAAACATCTTCATGGGATATGGCTAGGATATTTCAGCCTTTTCAGTGATGGAAGCCACATGCCTGTTGCTGTCCTGCCCTTGCTGCTTGATTGTTGTTTCTTATGTCCAAGAATCTGTCTGTATTTTAGCACAGTGAGAGGGATCTTCAGTTCTACCCAACAGTTCCCATTTGAACACAGCAGTGCTGGTTTACAAGTCCAGGTATGTACCAGTACACAGCTTCAATGGTCAGATTTCACACACAGCTCTTGCTTGCTTCTTTCCAAGTCAGGCATCCGGTGGAATGAGAAGGGTCCTGGTGGACCATTGGAGAGAACAAGCTGGGGTGGCATATCCAAAGCTAAGTAAGATTCCTGGGCAACCTCTTCTCTGCATCAGACTCCACCTCTTGAGACCTGAAAGCCTTTTTTCAGGGAAGCGCAGTGCTGAGCAGGATCAACGTAAAGGTTCCATGATGCATACAAATGCTTATATACATAATCTCAAAAAACCAAATCATTGCTGTATTAAATACATAGTCTGCCTTGGAATCTTCCAGACTGAGATGTGAGGATGGTGAGATTCATCTCTGAAACTTACCTTCCTGTCAGAATGTACACGCTGAGTATGAATGAGTGAGACTACTAAGTCATTGATTAACTAGTTGAATGAAAGTACGTTGAAAATGAGGCATGTTTGCTTATCTGTGGTGTTAACTGCTACAGAGCAAGCGAAAGCTGAAAATGTTCAAATGTAACGTATTTATGCTATCTTAAAGTTTAGACATCTTTTATGATAGGCAAGCAGGGGAGCCCTGCTTTTCCCTGCTCTTTTTTTTGGGGGGATGGGGTGGATGTTTTATAGTGACTTAAGCCACTTGTTCTGTGCTCTAATGCTCATGCAAAAACTTCCTGGAAGAAATGGTACTGAGAGAAATTGTTGTTACAGTGGTGACAGTATTCTCAGCAAATTGCATGCTTTTCTTTTGAAGTCATCAGGAATGGGAAGAGAGGCAGCAAAGATAGCAAATCTGCCTTTTGCTTTGGAGTGGTATTGGTCATCCAGTCATCAAGAAAAATGGTTCTTGCTTTTAAAAAATTCTAAAAAAGATTTTTGAATAATCATGAAATAACATTCAATATGTTCATTCCTAGAAGTTGTCTTTTTCTTATAAAGCCAACATTTTTGGCTTTTGCACTGCTACTGTCCTGATTTAATTAGATTATGCTCCTTTTAGTTGTAGTTCAGTCAGTTTCTTTCAATAGACAGAATTTCAGTTTTAGGACGCTGTCTATTCTAGTATGCCAATAAGGGTAATGCAATACTGTTGTACTTTGTAATGGATAAATTGAATGTTTGATTTTTGAAGAGGTGGCTGTAATATAACTGTATGACTTTTAAAAAGTTTATATTTTCCATTTATTGTTGTGTATTTCCATTTCTTAATCATTATTTATTATGTTTCATCAGACTGTAGTTGAATTTCTTATGGACAACTGGCAAAATATAGCATATGTCTATATTAAAAATGGCAAATTTACTCTGTACATTTACACTTTGGAGAACAGTAGACTAATGGAAATGGTTTTTATTTACTTGTTAAAATGTATTTTTTGTAAAAAAAATATAAATCTGAGTTTGCTGGATCAAAACTTGTATGTGATCAAATGCAATGTTTTTGTTTATAAATAAATACTATGCAGAATGGCTAATGTTTCTGGTTTATTTTAAGTATTCAGTCTTAAAAGAAAGCTGGCTCAGTCTGGTTTTGAGCAGAAGACTTTGCAGACCAAGCATGCCCTCAGACCGGGTAAGCATCCTGTAAGCCCCAGACCCAGCTGACTGGCTGAGCTTCTTCAGACAATTGTTTTCCTACGGGGAATTCTGCTACCCAATTACAAGACTGTTACTATAATAGGATTTGGGACAAAACTGTTTTTCAAGGCCTTGTTAGAGAGCTGATGTCCTTGTGGTGTTCTGGCAGAAGGGACAGGAATGCAAAGGGAAGAAAGAGTTAGGGTGATGGGACCACCTATGGGCAGGTGGCAAGCTCTTGGATGAGATCTGATCAGTTCTCCTTGTGAAAACTAGCCCTTAGGCTACTGGATCAGTTCCCCAGCCTGAGAGGGCTCAAGTTTTCACATATTTTTGTGGCTGAGACAGACTGTTCTTCTCTGACCAGTACTTCATTGTGCAATAGAGATGACTAATAAAGAGATAAGTGTTACTGATTTGTTATTAATTTGAGCTGATTTTAATGATTTTTGGTGATTTTGATTTAAATAAGGAATGATTAGGCCTAATCAATTAAAGGGAATTTTACAGGAGTATCAGTTTTGTTATATAAATAGTTGTGTAATGTTTTAAGTAGCCATAGAAACACTGTTAGAGTAACCATACAACCAGTCATGCTGCTGCAAAGTCCTTGTCCCAGGCTAAGGCCACATAGGCCTGTAATAATCATTAACCAGATTTCTATTCAACGAGTAAGATTGATGACCAGGTACTATTGTTAGGCTGTTTGGTAAGGACGATTTATTGCCCTGTTGGCCAGGATGCTCTAAAGGATACATTGTGTAGGGATCTTGAGGCATGTTAAAACTGTAATGTGAGCCAAAGTCCTTGAGACAAGGACATTGAAGGGTCTTTCGAGTCAGTGGTCTGTGGTGGTCATAAAAGCAGACCTTCGACTCAATTTAAAGCTAAAATGTGCATGACCAGAAAGGGGTGGGGTTAAGGAAATTAATGATGAGGGTTGATATGACTATGTATGAAATCTATTTACTATGCATCATTATATCCCATATAATCAGCATGCTATGTGAGTTAGGTGAGCGTTGTTGGTGAGATGACTCCCCTACGCACTCAGCTATTAATAAAGAAGTGTCTGCTTATCTGTATCACATTGGTGTTGGTAAGTTCTTTTTATCCCATTTGGTGACAGCAGCACACAAGGTATTGTGGAAAGGGTTGCAGCTGGTATGGAAAAGTTCTGGATACAGAAAAAGCAGTGCTGGTATAAGCCCAGGGTATGTGTTAACTGAATTTTAAACGAAGTTATAATACACGGGTGCACTTCCGTGCTTGCTTGCTGTGCAAGTGTAATTTCAAACCAAGCACAAGGACTTAACGCTGTCCTTTTTAAGCCTAGTCATACTAGAATAGAAATCCTCATTGTCCTCTACTTAAACAGCCTCTTTATTTTTAAAAACCAAAAAAAAAAAATCTGATTGTATGCAATAAATCTTCATTTGTTCTCACCTGTTGTGTTAGGCAGCGTAGCAATTGGAAAGTCTTCAGAGTACAGATTTTGGCTTTAACCACATGACCAGCAGTGGTTTTGCCTGTTTTGTTTCGGGAAGAGGGTGAGAGGCAGTACGGCCATAGGTGGGTGGGAAGAAGGAAAAGCAGATGCCAGTTTCTACGATGTAAGTTCTTAACTGTTATTTTAAAGGGAAAGATTTGCATTCGAAAGAAAGTGGAATTTGGGGGATTGGTTGCCCTTTGATCAGGCTAAATGTAAAAACATCTCAAGTACATCAAGGCCTTTTTTTCTTTGAGGGAGTGGGAGAGCACTGAGCTTTCCTAGGATTGGTTTTGTTGGCTCTGTGGAGTTTTTTAATTGGAAGCAAGCTTAGGGCAGGCAAGGGAAACACCTCCTAGCCAGCAGCAAACGCAGGCGAACATCCTAGCCAAGAGGGCAACGCGGCAGAGCTCGAGCGCCTGCCCTCACGACCCCTCAGGACTCTCTCGCTGTTCCGGGGAGGGGAGGCGGCGCTGCCAAGTGCTTCTCAGGCGGCGCAGGCACCTTCGCCAACAAACCGCGACCCGAAACCGGGGGTGGGGGCAACGAGGGCGAGCCCGCGGGCCCCGGTCCCACCGGGAACCGCCTGTGGCCGCTCCCGCCTACGGCAGGGGGCGCTGCCGCGCCGTCGGTCGCGCCTCAGCCGGCGGC